TCTCTGCCAACACTGAAGGTTCTATGTTAAACAGAGATTTTGGTACTGACTCAGTTGAGTCCACGGACAACTCGCTGCTTGCCTTGGAGCAACGTGTCGAAGAGGCTTGTGCTTTGGTCGAAAGAGTTCTTAGAGAAAGAGAGGAACGGGAACAGTTTGGAAGGGAAATAGAAAGGAAAGAACGAGAAATAAGAGAACAGAGAGCTCGAAAGAAAAGAGAAAGGGAAGCAAGGGAGCAGGAGGAAGCTAACAGGTGGCCACAACAACAGGAGGCCATCACTGGCCGCTCAAAGTGGTCGTGTGAACATTACCAGAGGCACTGTAGAGTGCGATTCCCTTGTTGCAGCCACTTCTATTCATGTCACCGCTGCCATAATAACTCTAAAGCATGTGACAATGAAGAGGCTAAGGCCGCCCATGCGACTCACCTCAAGTGCTCATTCTGTCAACATGAACAGGAGGTAAGCGTGTCTTTTATTAGTATTGTTTAATTTAGCAATGGCTGGCGAAACCAGGGCTTACTGAGCAAGCTGTTTCATTGGAACAGCTGGGCTTGTGCCAAGTGGCACAAAGAGTTTTTCAAGTTTTGTATTCTTTTAGATGTGGTTTGACTCTCCAAAATGGAATGCATTGAATTGTTACAAGGACAGTACTACACGTGAATGTAATTCAGAGTCAACAATAGAAAACTGGCTTGGTGGTATTTTTAAAAGCTGCTAGCTAGGGCTTTTAAGCAAAACAGGTGCATGAAATATTCTTTGGGGACGCTGTTTATGCTTACTATGAGAACTATACACCCACGTGTGCATGCGCACACAAACTTTCGAGCACAGCCTGAGTACATATGTTGTTAATGAATGACAAGGCCTGTGGTTTGTTTCTTAACTGTGAATTGTTTCTGCCTCGTCATTGTTGCAGATTGGTGAAGACAGTGGAAAATGCCGCAGCTGTGGAGCTCAGATGTCTGCGTATTTCTGCTCAATCTGTAAACATTTCACAAGTATCGATAAAAATCCTTACCACTGTAAAAAATGTGGAATTTGTCGGTAAGGAACATGATCAATTTTACTGTGCTAAAAGATTTTTCCCTTCATCATGCTTGTAAGGCCCATCTTTTCCCATTACGTACAAAAACATATTTCTTTCTTTGAACTTCTACATCTTTTGCTTTCACATGGATAATATTTTTAGTTAATATTTGTGTCCTTTATTCCTGTTTTTAGTTAGGAATATAATTTGGGCTCACAGTAAAGAGTTATGTGTCTTTTTGTCAGTGATTATCGTGGGTTTCGATGTAATTTCCTTTGCAAGATGGCAATACTAGGGTTTGTTTGTTTGTCCTTGCTAAATTTAAGTTCATTTCATCCCTAATTATAATTCCAGTTAATAGCCAACGTTTCGGTGTCATCTTGACACCATTCTCAAGGCAAAGTGAATAAATTAATGTGAAGCTGATTTCTATGCTTTTATAGTCTCTTCAAATTAGCATAATAGCAAAGGCCCACAAGTTCTTCAAGTGAATACCTTTGCGTGAATCGAGTCCGTTTGCATGTTTAGAGATGGCTTCAGTTTCACATGCTTACTAAATGTGCAAACAAATTTGATTGCCTAATTAAGGAATGCTTTTTATAGCGGAGCTCCGGCGGCCCAAAGGGC